GGCGGCAGGGAACAAGTGCCGGGGAGCTGGGGGGCTCCCCGTACCCGGAGCAGGATTGCGCGTTGGTGAGGGCTAGAGGGCTGCGGTGACTAGGTAGCCCTGCCCCTCCCTCGGAGGCACCGGCCGACACCCACCCTGAACGCAGGGGACTCCCCTCCGGCAGGGACCCTCGCCGCGCCTCGACCTCACCCACAGCACGCTCCTGAGCATCCCCGCCGCCGGGGATCACACAACTCCCTGGCCAGCCCCGCAGTCCTGGGGACCCACATCTGCCTGCTGCCCACCCCCACCCCGCTACAAGCCTCCCCATACTGGACACTGACCCGCTGGGTGCACCGGGTGCCACCAGCCCAGGGCCCAGGCAGGTGGATGGTAACGTCACCCTCCAGCCTTTCTGTCCAGGGCTGTATGTGCACTAAGCAGCCTGACCCAGGGCCAGGCACCCCACCTCCCCACAGAGGGCTGGTCTGCTTCTGGCAGGGGGAAGTGGTGCACACCCGTCACCCTGGGCCCTGCTGGGGACTGGCCCCCGGAGCCGGAAGCCCAGAGCCCAAGCACCTGGGGTCGAGGCACAGCCCTCTGGCCCTGTGCGCCCAGCCCAGGCCTGGGGCAGTGGTCAGCTGGCTGCCCTGGGCCGGAGCCCTGCACCTGAGGCTGGCAGGGCTTAGTGTGAGGCAGTGATGGGGTAGCTGGTGGCATGCCAAATGCCCAGAGCGGGAACGGGGAGACCAAGTATGGGGCGGGGGGTCGGTAAATCTAGGATATAACCAAAATTGACCTGGACATCCTTTGGTTGCATGTGGGACCCCAGCCCTTGGGGACGCTGCTGGAGGGGTTAGTAGCGTGACCCCTCGAAGACCAGGCAGACCCCCAGGGGCTCACTGGGAGGCCCTGGGGGGAGGTGGACACCAGGGGCCCCAGGGACATGCTGCCCCAGTGCAGAGAGACCTCTGTCCTCATTTCCACACCCGGGCTGAAGTGTTGGACACAGCCCTCCCTCCTGGGCCCTGAGCCTTTCTGGGAAGCCTGGCTGGGGTGGGATGAGAAACTTGGCATTGGTGGCTGGGGCGGCTGCCAGACAAGGTCACACCCTAACCTGGACAAGGGCCGACAGCCTGCACACTGACCCTCGCCCAGGGCCACACACGCTCCCCCTCTGGGAGAGGAGCTGCAGCCCCGAGCATTGGACAGCCACCCACCCATCCGGATGGGGAGCAGTGTCCCCAGGCCACCCCTCGGGCAGGCAGACTGCCAGCGGCTAGGCCGGCACACTCGTGAGCCGATGCCTGGCCAGCAGTGGCCAGCTTGCACTTGGCCACCACCTCACTGCCCAGCAAAGCCCCGTGCCTACCCACACAGTCCAGGGGTGAGGTGGACCTGGGGTACTGGCCTCAAGGCCGGACCCAGGGCCCCCAGGGCAGCCCAGGCCTGCCCCGGGGTTGCCCTCACTTGTGAAGAAGCACCTCCAGGAGGCCGTCCGTCCTGGGGTCCCCCCAAGGCATGAGGATCCCCATCAACTGTTCCCCTCAAAGCTGACTTGTACCCGCTACAGGTTCAACCACACCAAACCGGCCCCGGCCATGAGCCCCTGCACTCATTCGGCACCCCAGGCTCGGGAAGGGCACCCCCCACTGAGGCCACAGGGACAAAATGCTCACGGCACACCTGAGACATGTGGAAAAGCACTTTTATGTAACAAAGATCCGCGCGGTCGCGGCCGGGCTGCACGCAGCTCCCCTCCTCCGAGGGCGCAGGGGCTGGTGGTGGGGGCCAGCTAATCAAACAAGCCGAAGCCCATGTCGTCGTCCGACTCCTCAGACTCCTCCTTCTTCTCGTCCTTCTTCTCCTCTGCTGGGGGTGGGGGTGTGTGAGGGGTGCAGGCTCCAGGCAGCCGGCCGCGGCCCCGCCCCCGCCCGCGCCCCACTTACCGGCAGCGGGGGCAGCACCGGCTGCAGGTGCCGCAGAGCCGGCAGCGGCAGAGACGGCTACAGCCCCTCCGGCGGGCACGCTGGCCAGCTTGCCAATCCCTAGAGGGCAGTGCCGTGAGCCTCGGCCCAGCGTCCTCCGGCACCTCCGAGCACCCGGTGGGGCAGGTGACCCCCCGAGTACCCCCAGACGTGCTGAGCCCCCCACCCAGGAGCAGTCTCCGCAAATGTGTTTACGCGTGGGCTGCCCGGCCCAGGGGACCTGGGCTAGCTGCCCCCCACGCTCTGGGAGTAAGGATGTCCTGTACCAGCTGCCTGGACACAAGGTCTACAGGACCCACCCGACTCCGAGGGGTTCAAGACACCAAGGACTCTAGGTGCCGAGTCATCACCCCGGGGAGAGGACGCTGGGAACTGAAGACGCACTCAAGCGGCCATGCAGCTGGGGGCGCTCAGCGTGCCCCTCTCCGCGGACCTGGCAGGACACATGTCCAGCTACCTCCCCCTTTCTCCCGCAATTACAGCTTCTTTCATTTCCTCTCCTTTTGCGACAAAGCCCGGTGTTAGCCTTTCTGTGCCTGAGTCTGTGTAAGCTCCTTTTAAGAACAAGGGTGTGGACCCCCAGTCAGGTCACTGTAACACGCTGACCGGCTCCACTTTCCACAGGTGCCTGCGGGGTCATCTCCTGAGGGCCACCAGCCCAGCAGAAGGAGCGGGGCCCGGGAATTCCCGCCCTCAGTCAGCTGCTGGCTCACGAGCTGCAGGCGGCCAGGGCGCCCCTGCCCACCAGTGTCTGGAGGCGCCCCTGGAACGGGCCAGCCGGGCCCTGCCTGCTCCGGAGGGCGGCTCCCGGGTGCTCTGGTCCACAAGCGAAGCCTGGCAGGCCACGGGCGGGCCAGCAGGGATTAGGATGGACCGCGGGACCCGCACCCCCCAGCAGACCTCACCCTGGGCGATGACGTCCTCGATATTTTTTCCGTTCAGCTCGCTGATGACCTGCAGGGGCAACACCTACAGTCAGAGCCCCGACGG